AATATACCTACCCTTATGGAAAACAAGTTTTTAATGTGAAATGTTCAGTATTTTCAGGTATTTCTAATTGAGAAATCTATTTAATTTAGGTGAGTTAGTGTAAAGCATAGAAGACTTATGTTCTTTAATCAAATAGTAAATGTTTATTTTTCAAACCACTTTACAGGTAAAGCTTGCATTTCATTCAACAAAAAGGATTACAGAGGAGCTCTTGCTTACTATAAGAAGGCATTGCGTACTAACCCAGGATGTCCAGGTAAGAGAATAACTTTATTTTAGGTCTAAGCTGTGTATGACCTAACTTAAAATATTGAGGATTTGACAGTTGCTTATGAAGTTACTTGCGAAAAGAAGTTGAATTATTAAAATGACAGAATCGAGATTTTTTTTTTGTAAGGGTTATGTTTGATTCAAAAGCTGGATAGTAGATCATATTATAATCTTTTTGCCCTATTCTGTTTTTTCTTTTCAAAATGTCATTNAGAGAGAGAGAGAGGGAGTGAGAGAGAGCATAGGTGGTACAATGGTGCTGAGGAGAGTGTGCCTTGCAAGTTTGAGGAACAGTGAGGAGACTGATATATCTGGAATGGAGAGGGAGAGCGTGAGGGAGAAAAGTAATAAGAAAAGGGGTCAAAGATATAACCTGGGACTAGTCATGTAGGGCATCATAGATTATTATAAGGACTTCAGCTTTTACTCTGACGGAAGTAAGAAGTCATTGGAGAGCGTTGGGTAGAGGAGTAACATGATCTGACTTATATTTAAAAAGATCATTTGAGCTTCCGGGTTGAGAGTAGAGTAGGTTGTGGGGGTAAGAGGCAAGGACAGATGTAGGGAGACCAGGAAGAATGCTAGTGCAGTCATGCAGGTCAGAGATGATTGTGGCTCACACTAGGTTGGTAACAGTGGAGGTGGTACAAACGGTCAGATTCCAAATATATTTTGAAGGGAGAGCTGATAGAGTAGATGTGGTATGTGATACAAAGAGAGGAAGAGTCAAAGGTAAATCCTTTGCATAAGCAATTGGAAGAGTGAAGTTACATTTTACTACATTTGGAAAATAGTTCAAGAGGAACTAGTTTTAGATATGAAAAGTTTGAAATGCCTTTTAGACATACAAGTAAAGAGGTCAGAAGGGATGGAGTTCAGGAAAGAGGTCTGGGCCTAAGTAATTAATTTTGGAGTCATGAGCGTATAGATGTGTAAAGTCATGAGAATGCATGAAGTCTCTAGGCCAATGAGTGTACATAGAAAAGAGGTCCAGAGATGGAGCCCTAGAGCACTCTGACATTTAGAGGTGAGGAAAATGAAGAATCAGCAAAGGAGCTTGAGAAGGAGAAGCCAGAGGTATAGGAGGAAAACAAGATAAGTGCAGTGTCCTTGAAGCCAAATAAAATGTTTCCAGAAGGAGAGGCTGACGAACAGTGTGAAATTCTGTTGTTAGGCCAGGTAAAATAGGGAAATAGAATTGACCAATGGATTTAGCAGCATGCAAATCATTATTGACCTTGAAAAAAGCAGTTTTACTGGAATGGAGGGGACGAGAGCCTCATTGTAGACGACTCAAGAGAAAATGGAAGAAAAGGAATCGGAGGCAGCAAGTGTAGCTAGATTTTGCAAGTTTTGTTGTCAAGAAAGAACAGGGTTAGCAAATAGAAAGGGAGATAGAATCGAGAGGATTTTTATAAGATGGGAGAATGTTTGTATGTGGTTGAGAATGATTCAGTAGAGAGGAAATATTTTATGATGCAGGAAAAATAAGGGAAGGTTGCTGGAGCAGTGTCCTTGAATAGATGGAGAGGGGATCTACTGACCAGTGGAAAAGTTGGCCTTAGATAGGAATGTTTGTATTTTGGCATGGCCTTGAAATAAGGCAGCATGTAGAAGCATAGCTCTGAAGGGAAGACAGTATGTGCGTATCATAAGCACAGTATTTAAGGTCTTGATGGAACTTTTGTCCTCTGTTCAAAAATTTCTCTTCAAAAATTAGAAATTGAAGGTACAGTGTAGCAGGGATATTGGAAGACAAGACATATACCAGTATTATAGGTGTTTTATTCTATGATAAGAAAAGTGTCCATGATAGGGGAGAGGGTGGAGAGTGTTAGAGTCTAACCTCCAGTGAAACCAAGCTTGTGGTAGGCCAAAAGATATTGTAGTGTAGTTATACTAAGGTTAATTTGGGGGATTTTGCAATTCACAAATAGAGAATGTTTAAGCATTTTTGTAATTGAATTGAACCCTAAAAATGCCCTAGTTTCACAGATTGAATGGCTTGATTTTATTTTTTTCAGCGGAAGTTCGTTTAGGAATGGGCCATTGCTTTGTGAAACTTAACAAACTAGAAAAAGCCCGTCTGGCATTCAGCAGAGCCCTGGAACTCAATTCCAAATGTGTGGGAGCATTGGTTGGACTGGCTGTTCTAGAACTCAACAATAAAGAGGTATGTGATTGTAAAAATTGTCCTGTTCCTGACTGATTACTCAGGCCCACAGTTCATTATCTAAAACTCGTGGGGCCAGATATGTCTCAGAAATCAAGATTTCAGATTGTAGAAAGTAATATGGTGCCTGTGCTACGTAATATATAACACCCCAGTTATTTGGGCACCACCCAAAAAGCAAACTTATATTCTGTGGCAAGATGAGTGACTGTTTACACTAATAGTATAGCTTTATAATTCAGGAAAAGTTAGTTGCCACCAAATGAGTTAGCTCCAAGTTTTTAAAAAAACTTTTTTTTTAAAAAGCTTTTTAGATTTCAGAATCTTAAGGAATTGTAGACTTGTATATAAGTTTGGAATGC